TACTATACACACATTCATACAGTACTCTACTATACACACATTCATACAGCACTCTACTACATCTCTACAATGATAATCTGAGTCTGTAGAAACTAATCAGAGCTTTATATTGCATTCATACACTGTTGGGACACACATCACAGGTAATGAGGGGTTCAATATGTCTCCCATGGACACCTCAACATGTGATTCTGCTGGAATAGAACCTCCATCTCTCCCAGTCAAGGACAATAGCTCTAACCACTCAGCCATAGCAAACTGTTGAGATCACTTGAAAAGTCCCCTTCACAAGTTCTTAAGGAAAAAGAAGGTGAATACATTAGTTCTGTGTGTTACCGCCACAAGCACTCTGTAAAAAATCATATTGTACCACAGAGCGGATCAGTTGCCTCCTTTATAAAACAGTTTTGCTATGTGGCCACAATGACAAGTCCCTCTTTATGCTGTTCATAAATCACCAATTGATCCTCCCACATCCTGCAAAGACATGAGCTTTTAATATTGAAGCATCAACATGGAACCAATGGAGGTGTTGATTGTAATGCAGCTGCTCACACAGACTGTCATCACTACATCATACCTCTGAGCTACAAACCAAGCTTACCCCATCCTGTTTTTACCTCACCTGGCAATTTATGCCTGTAGATTTTAACCATCATGCCATCTTAGGCCTTTCATAAATTACAACAAGATTCCCAGATGGCATCTCAGGCTTGGCTTGAAGTGAACTGTAGTAACTATTATTGGTTACAGTCTCACCTAAAGGCACTGATCGCTTCCAGAGTAGATCCCAATTAGCCTGGATTTTGTGTGTTGGCAGCAAATTGATAGCTGGGCATTTTAAACTTTTTGTTACCAATTATTTAGAATCTTGAGAATGTTGCTGGAATAAAGATAAAACTATGCCTCTTGTAAACTAACAACAAACACTTAGCTTACAACACCACCAAAAGCTTCAGAATCTTGACAACTAAAGTTATGTTTCTTTGTGAAGTTGAACTGCAGATATAAAGTAATTTCTAACAATGAGTTGTGCTGCAGCTTACCTGTCTCAGAAAACTCTGACACTTTCAATACTTGTGATGTTGACTTGAAAAACAACAAGACAAAAGCAAACATTTCAGCGTTGCAGCTAATTGACAGTCTGTGGTGACTCAGTGGATCCCTGAGGGCGCAAAGACAGCAGAGCTGCAGGAATCATTGATTTGTTGTTACAAATAACCTCACACCCATAAAGAGCTGGCACGAAATGCTGTTTCCCAAATGTAGCAGCCTTTCGCTGTGAGGCTGCTTTTTCATATACAAAAACAAACATGGCAGGAGTCACGGTATCACTTTGTAATGATCATTTTTCCATTTGTCAGGCTTTAACATATTTTATTTATAGTCATTGTACTGATATCACTTCAGAACAGTTTCATGATTAAATGCACAGTGAATTAATTTTGCATTAAAGAAATAGTACAGGGGCAGCACGGTGGCGCAACTGGTAGAGCTGCTGCCTCTCGGCGAGCAGGTCCCTGGTTCAAATCCCGGTCCGGGGGCCTTTCTGGGTGGAGTTTGCATGTTCTCTCCGTGCATACGTGGGTTTTCTCCGGGTGCTCTAGTTTCCTTCCACAGACCAAAAACATGCATGTTAGGCTGATTGGTAACTTTAAATTGTCCCTAGGTGTGAGTGAGAGAGTGAATGGTTGTTTGTCTCGTTTGTCTCTATGTGTCCCTGTGATGGACTTGAGACCTATCCAGGGTGTACTCCGCCCCTCGCACAGTGATTGCTGGACATGGGCACCGGCGACCCCCATGACCCAAAATGGAAGAAGCAGGTAAAAGATAATGGATGGAAATAGTACAGAAGTTGACAGAAAGCTACCAACATTTGTTTTGTAAATGTCTGTCAGCTGTCAGAAGTGTAATCCACAGCCAATGTCAGGAAATCTGTCCAGTCTTTAAATAAAGAATTATTAAGCTTTTTTTGTCTTGTACGTAATGTACTTTAGTTTCTTCAGTTATTTACCACAAGGCCTAACAAATAGTGTTTTTAGTGTGGCCCTCCCACTCCAATCCAATGTTTTCTGTTGTATAGGTGACTACTTTGGCCTTCTGATGAAAGAGAAGGTGACATGTTTTCCCTTCAGTATCATTGAAAACCCGATGTACTGGGGCAGCACTGCCAACTACCTGGGACTTGCGCTCATGTAAGTCATATAAATGTTTACTTTTATGAATGTGGTACAAAAGCAGGTTATTGCAATTTATTTTTTCAGAGATTTGTCATCCAGTCTTAATGTATTAAGTTGTTTGTCATTAAGTTTTAATTTGGAGATCAAAGTTCATGCTCAATCATCCAGGTACAAAATCCAATAATGGTCAGTCAGGTCATCTGGACAGTTTTTTTTTGTGGAAAGATGTTTCGCCCTCGATCCGGAGGGCTTCATCAGTCTGAGAAGGCCCAATTAAACTGTTTTCCCCACTAAGCAGTACACTCCTATACTTGACCAACCAGTTTTCTGGTAATAAGATGGTTTCTGGGGGCTGTCCTGTCCCCCGTCGACTCCTCCCAAGCAGACAGCCATAGCCAAAGTGGTTCAAGACATCAAAGTTCATGCTCAATCCTCCAGGTACAAAATCCAAAAATAGTCAGTCAGGTCATCTGGACAGTTTCTTTTTTGTGGAAAGATGTTTCGCCCTCTATCCGGAGGGCTTCATCAGTCTGAGGAGTCCCAAGTAAACTTGAGACTCTTCATATGTGATGTCTTGGTCCACTAAAGGAGTGTACTGCTTAGTGGGGAAAACAGTTTACATGGGGCTCCTCAGACCGATGAAGCCCTTCGGATAGAGGGCGAAATGTCTTTCCACAAAAAAGAAACTTTCCAGATGACCTGATTGACGATTATTGGGTTTTAATTAGGAGGTTCTTAAGTAGAACTGATCTTTCAGATGGAGGGGCAACAGTACTGACGTTCATCAAACGGTGCACACACCAGCCACATGCATAATGCATTACTGCCTGAAATTCACAAATGTTGTTTTTCCAAGTTGCAAATGAAAAAGGTGGCGAGGTAAAAAGTTTTACGTGTGCTCCAGTCTCCATGGCAACCGTGACAACATGGCTTGGTGTTGCTAGGCAAGCTTTCCAGGGTTGATGAACCAGGCGCTAATAAAAGCAGCTGGACTCCTTTTCTTCCTCTCACACAGCTCATACATGAACCTTGATTAGCCTTACAATGTCCTTTGTCCCTTTTGTTATGAGTAATTTGAATTTAGTCCACTCATTGGTTCTGTGTCTGTGCTAACCAGTTATTATTTTCAAACTATCTTTCACCCACACTCCCTCCATTCCTTTCATTGTATAGTCAGTTGAGATATTTCCACAACCTGATGCATTGCCGTCATCAGCATTTTGTTTGTTTTGTTGTGGTCTCAGGTGTAAAGCATGCTAAAATGTAAAAACAGACCATTCAACCTCATCAGACCTGATGATGTTGAACTGAATGAATGAACATGTTGCCAGTAAAAAAAAAAGACACATCCAGACAGAGTTGTGGAAGTGAAATAAAACTGCACGTGTTTAAAAGCCATGTGACTGTATTGCAAAAATTACAATACCAAATCACATGAAAAACAGAGTAGGAAGTACGAACTCATTGCTGGTTCCATACAAGCATAAATTAGATGCAGACAGAGCCATACAAGTGTATTCTTTCCTGCAGCAAATCAGCCTACAGCTGTTGAACTTGGCCCTCCAGATCCTGCATATTGATACTGGGCTGGATGTTAAAACTGATCTAACATGTTTAGTTTAGTTTATTGTTTATTTGTCATATACAGGTTAACACAATGTCAACAATGCAAATAAATGCTCAGGATGAGAAGAGAAAAAACAAACAAAAAATACTAAAACATGCAAAAAAAGTACAAAATAATGTACCAAAATGTGAAAAAGAAATATATTGACAAGGTCCAAAAGAAGTATAGTAAATGACAACATGGTAGAATATAACAGTGCAAGTATGATGAATTAGTATAAATAAGTATTTCAGAGGTAGTAGTATTAGCTTAAATGCACATGATATATAATGCACACAACATATTCTACACAGGTTATTGCACAGGTAATAACATTGAGATAAATTGAATTATGATGATAAGGTAGTGACATACATGATACACCCACATAGTGCAGCAGCAATAAACATATTAGGTGTCACAGATGTAGTTTAGTGCAATGTTATTGTCAGTAGTTCAGTAATCTGACAGCTTGTGGATAATAACTGTCTTTGAGTCTTTTCATACGTGATGAGAGGCTCCTGTATCGTCTGCCTGAGGGTAGTGGATGGAAGAGTCCTTCTGCTGGGTGGGTGTGGTCCTTAATGATGCTGCATGCTTTACGCAGACATCGGCTGTGGTAGATGTCCTGGATGGTGTGGAGACTGCTACCAGTGATGTCCTCTGCTGTTTGCACCACCCTCTGTAGAGCTTTCAGGCTCTGACTGGTGCAGTTCCCGTACCACCCTGTGATGCAGCCTGTCAGCAGGCTCTCAGTGGTGCACCTATAAAAGTTAGTGAGTTTGAAGCACTCAGAGGTCAAGGTCGAGAGCTTCAGATCTTTTTGCAAGGTATTCCAGGATACAGGAGCAAAGTAAGAGAAAGCCCTTTTCCCTAGTTCAGTCCTCACTGAGGGAACACTGCATGTAATAATGTCCTGAGAGCGCACACTTTATGCCCTGTTTTATTTCTTTGTTGTGTTTTAGTAAAACACTAAAGTATTCATCTGTTTCATCAAGAGCTTGTAGTAACTTTCCAGGTGAAGGTTTTGTGTCCATTCATAAAAAAATATGTCAAGGAATTAATGACCAACTTTTCACTGTTTTAGTTTTCAGCTTTCTTTTTATTTATGGGTTTGCAACTTAACTACCGGTACCTAAAAAAGTTAAATCTGGTCCTCTGGACATTCAAAAACCAAAACAAAGCAAAAAAAATAAATAAATAAATAACTACCGGTACATGTTTTTGTAACTCTCAGATCTTTGTTTTCAAAAACCTCCTTCAGCTTTTGAAAGAAAAGGGCTTTGAATCTTTCTTTCACTTTATATTGCGTTCAGTGCTTTATACAGACAATAACATAACCCTAGCCAGTAAGATGAAGGCCAAAATTACACTTATAAAGACTCACAGGCTAAAACATGTAGAAGTTGGTTGAAAATTCAATTCATCCTGCTGATGTTATGAAATTTTAACAGACTCAGCCTGGATTAATAAATGACCACACATTGATATGAAAATTAATGTTTATGCTTTATATAGACATGTGGTATATATGATTAAAACTTGTGTAAGAAGTTATGTGTATAACTAGAATTTACTGTCTTACTTCTCATTGAACCTAATTTTGATTCAGGTTTTTCTATGGGCACCATTTTACAACAAGAGTCACCTTAGGTCATTTGTCAAAAATGTACCAAGTCCAAACATAAATCCAACTTAAATACCGTACAGTCATTTGAATCCAAATATATTATAATACACATAAAATTCTTTCATTACAAAATGCAAAATAGTAACCACCTGTCCAAGGTGTCCCCTGCCTATCACACAGTGAATACTGGATATGGACACTGTAGTGAACCAGATGACCTGATGATCTGACCCTCATCTGACCCTGATGACCTCAAATCTACCAGATGGACAGAGACTGTTATTTTCATTGATCTGAATAAGTCTGAGCCATCTGATGACTTTCTTTCTTGAATTAATCAAGCAGAAAAGACAATCCTCTATAATCATTACTGTCTTACAAATGTTTTGATAATCAAATTGTGTTAGTTCACTCAATGCTTACAGGTTGAAAAGAACTACTCATCTTTATTTTACATAAACAGTAAGTAATGATTTTTATTCCTCATTCAAAGAAGAAATCACCTGAATATGCATTTCTTGATTTTCTGTCTGAAATGAGCCAAGTCGTAAGTGTGTGAAAGTTGAAGCTTCGGTCAACTAAATGTTTACTGAAGAAGAAATGTCATGTTTTACTATTTGAAAAGATTACCAAGTGTGAGACTCCACGAAGTCTGGTCGACTGCAATAATCTTTTCTGTATGTTGAAAACAATCCTTGACTTTTGATAATAACTTACGTCAAAAAACCACACCTCTTTCTGGTACATCCACGAATCAGAAAGCTCTAAATTGAACCGGAAGTCGACCCAAATAAAATGTGGCAACTTCCCAGTTCATGTTAGATTGGAAAAGTTCTCAAGGAGTTCAGAAGAGAACTAGAGTTATGGAGAGTTTTGGAGTTGGAGTCTGAGAAGATCTGAAAGAGTCTGAGAGCTGCTGACAATGAAGAGTCAGAGTTGCCGAGAATCCAGAGACGTTTTGGGATTATGATTCTGTTTGAACTAACCACGCACGACTCTCTAAGGATTTTAGCAGTTCTCAACGGAGACGCTGAAAAGAGTCTGAAGGATCCTTACTGAGCTGATGAACTTCAACAAGGTAAAAGTTCTTCTTCGACCAAGTGTACCGTGGGCAAAGCTGAGATCTGACGGAGCGTGCAATTTCTGGTTAAACAGATTAAATTCCCTCACATATTCCTCTGTAAGATAAATCTCAATTTCCTCTTAAACTCACCTCTCTCTCACAAAACTAGTACAGATATTTTTAGAAATATCTGAAGCAAAGTCCTCAAATCACCGCCGAGTGATTTGAAGTTCATTTTCTGTGAAACTGTCTGTTATTATTTTCATATTTTGCCAAATTAATGTAAATGTTTGATGTTAAACTTTGATTCTGAAAATAAATGACTCCATTCATTTGATGGGTCAAAGGTAATAACGTCTCTCGTTACATTTCTGTTAAATTCAATGCACGGCATTACACAGTCAGAAAGATGAGGAACTCGTGAAAAGTATGCATAAATATATACCACATATATTTGTCATACAACAAGTGACACGTACCTACGTGACTCACTACAACACCATTGACCCTGTGACCCTTAAAGGAAGAAGAGGTTAAAGATGATGGGTGGGTGGGTGAATGGGCGGGCAGGTGGGCGGGCGGTTGCTTGGTTGGATGGATGTGTATGTAGGTGAATGGGATGGATGGATGATTGATTGATTGATTGATTGATTGATTGATTGATTGATTGATTGATTGATTGATTGATTTTATTGTCAATTCTGCATATGTACAGG